CGGCTACCAGACACGCAGCGCGCCCCGACGTTTGCCACCTTCCCTTCCCCGCTCCCCGCCACTGATGCTCCAGCGGGGACTGCCTGCCCGCGCGGGCCCGGGATGGTGGAGACGCCTACCGCCACAGTGTCCCCACCCCGCCAGGGAACGGCTGATGCTGTGTCATCCACGTCGCCCTCCAAGGCGTCAGGGAAGCCACATGCAGTATCTCTTTCTCTCAGAGGGCTCCTGTTTCGACTCTGCGAAGAAGGAGCCCTCCTCCGATCCGCTCTCCATCCCCGCAGTTCCTGTGGCCCTCGAAACCTCGGCCCAAGTTATCCGGAGCTCAGAGAAAATAGGCCCAGGCTGCGCTTCCTCCGTGGAGCGGCCGGCGACCAGGTTCCAGCTGCCAATCTCTTCCTCCCCAGGTTCTGAACCGGGCTGTGCAGGGGGTGCTTTAGAAGCATCTTTAGAAAGATAAGGTTGGTGGGGCTTGTTGAAAACAATAAACACCACAAATTCTAAAGTTGAAAGGACAGAGCAAGGGACTATAGAATTAGACAAGATGATGTGGAACAGGCAGAAAGCTGGCCATGCTCGAGGTACGGTGACCTTTGACCCCGGCCCCACCCGCTGGCTTCTCTTCGAACCCTTGAACACCAACGTGGTCAGCCCCACTGTGAGATTTAATTTGAGGCCTTTCTTCAACAGAACTGAAGTTTTCACAGCTTCCAACAAGTATCCAAGTGTCCGTCTAGGGAAGGGACTAGTTGGATGGGTCCTGGCCAAGACAGAACTCTCTAGAACCAAAATCAGGTAGACCATCACCTCTGACAGAAGATCAGTAGGCTAAACCGCAGCTCAACTGATTCAGCTGCTTGCTGTTTCTCTGACTTCCAGGTTTCTGAATGAAGTTTTCTGAACCTGTCCCGTTTCCCAGGGTCTACTGTTTACTGAGGCAAATTCTGCCAAAAAAAATGGTTGCGTTTTTTTTCTAGGCCTTCTCCTCCCCCACCCTCACCCTGTCCCATGTACATTATTGAATTCGTTTAGAAAGACTGCCCTGTCCTGAGGAGACAGGGAGGTCGCCAGACAGTGGCCATAGCTCATAGCCTCTCAGAACTGGGCTTGGGCTTCCAGGGGGACTGCCTTCAGTGATAGGTTTTTAGTAGGAACAGTATGAAAGTTGGAATATTACTTGTGATTTAACTTATTGTGTAAAATACATCGCAACCTCCACAGCTACAGGAATTTTCATAACAAATCAGTACTTCTGTAATACACTGTCAACCTAAAAAAGCAAGCTTTTATTAAAAGTTGCTTTTTTTCGGGAGACAGGCTCTCACTCTGAAGTTCAGGCTGGCCTCTAACTCGAGGCAATCCTCCTGCTTCCTCAGCCTCCCAAGTGCTGGGATTACAGGTGTAGACACCACACACAGCACAAAAGTTGTTCTTTAAAAACTGGATTTTAGGGCTGGGTATGGTGGTGCACACTTGTGAGCACAACCCTTGGGAGGCTGAGGCAGGAGGATCACTGTGACTTTATTTTAGAGGTGAGGGTATGCATATCTCAGTGGTTAGAGCACTTGCCTGCCATGCACAGGGCCCTGGATTTGGATCCCAACACCAGAAAAGAACAAAACAAAAAATCAGTGAAAATTGGATTTTAGCTAGGTATAGTGGCTCATCCTATAATCCAGCACTAGGGAGGCTGAAGCAGGAGATTCAAGTCTTAAATATTTTTTAATTGGCCCCAAGATCCTAATTTCTAGCTAACTAATAAATTTAGAAGTCAAACCACCTGTCCAAAAGATTATTTCATGTACATATTATTTATCCAACAAATATTTACTGAATATCTAATATGTAATAAAGAAAAAAACGAAAGCATCTCACTATGATGAAATGCTGTTTCATACCCAGTAAAATGGCTGTAATAATAAAAGTGAGGCTGGATGTGGAGGCATGTGACTGTAATCTTAGCACTCTGGAGGCTGAGGCAGGAGGATCACCTCGAATTCGAGGCCAGCCTGGACTACACAGCAAAACTTGGTTCACAAAACCAAAATGAAAAAAAGAAAGAAACTCAGACAAGTGCTGGCAAGGATGTGGAGAAACTGGAACCCTCATACATTCCTAGAGGAAGTGTAAAATGGTGCAGCCATTTTCAAAAGTACTTAGCTACTCCTCAAAATGTTAAATGTAAGAATTCCCGTAAAAGCCAGCAATTCTACCCCGAGGTACATAACACTAGAAATGGAAATTTATGTTCATACAAAAATTTGTTCACAGATGTTCATAGCAGCATTATATTCATAACAGCTTAAAAAATGGAAGCAGCTGAGCATCCAGCAGGGGGTGAATATAAAAATAAAACATGGTAGATCCATACGTGGACTGTTCAGCCACAAAAAGGCAAAGATGATTCACACAACACGGATGAACCCTAAAAACATTATGCCACATCCCAACAGAGAGGTAATGCCTGATTTCTTTTACACGAAATATCCAGAATAGGTAAATCCATGGACAAATGAGACTCCAGGTATCTAGGGACAAGGGTTACCCAGGGAAATGAGAGAGGGGGGACCAACTGCTAATGTACAAGGGGCTCCTTGTGGGGGGTGCCACAAATATTCCAGAATTGTGGTTCAGTAGCACAACTCTATACTAAAATGACACTGAGTTTAGACATTAAATGGGTGAATGTTACAGTGAGTCATATGCATCGTGCTAAAGTTGCTATGTATTTATTACATATATGGAATTCTGTGAGCTTCTATAGTGAAGTGATACAAAAACTGGTCATTTATAGTCCATGCCTTTAAAGAGCTGACAGTTGAATCTCTGCATCCACAGGAAGTAAGGAATGCAAACCAACATATACAATAAGTACTTGATGGACACAATCCGGGCCTTCAAAGAGAACACCTTCACTAGGAGTGATCAGAGAAAGCTCCATGCAGGAGAAGGCAGTGGAAGTGGGTCATGGGCAATGGCTAGGAATGTAGGAGATGGAAACTGGGGTTAAAAACATCAGATTGGCCAGGTGTGGTGGTACACGCCTGTAATCCCAGCACTCTGGGAAGCTGAGGCAGGAGGATTGAAATTTGGAGTCAGTTCTGGGCAATTTAGCAAGATCCAACAGCAAGACAAGAATTTTAAAAAAGGTGTTCATGTGAGGGGGATTGTTACACTGGAACGTAGCTCAGTGCAAAGACCTTGGGCTCATTCCTCAGAAACACACACACACACACACACACACACACACACACACAGATTGGTCAATGGAAGACACACATATGTATTATGAACATAATACAAACTGATGCAAAGGCCATATTAGAAAAATTACGAGCCTTGACCTGAAATCAGTAAGGACTTTAGCATGGCTGGATGATGACATATACAGGGACAGCCAGGAGATAAGATGCAAAGGTAAGTAAGAAGCATTTTGAATACCAACCATAGAAACCTCAGGTAGCAGGGGTGGGGGGAGAGAGGATGGAGAAGAGAATGACGGGAATTGCAGGAAGAACTGACTGGGATGCTGACTGGGTCAGGAATGAGGACAGGGCTTGGGGTGTGTGTGTGTAAGAGTCAGGTACCGAGGCCTCAGGAAGCTGGGAGAACGTCAAAAGCAAGAAAGTCAGAGGTGGGAGTGCATTTGAAAGTGACAGAGTAGGTGACTCTGAGTCTTAAGGCAGAAATGCATGGCAAGCAAAGCTGTGCCGTGAAGAGGGCAGTGAAGGAAAAGGACGGGGACAG